CTTATAGCAAGTCTACAGCAATAAATATAGCACATAAATACATACCATACGGGTAAACTAAGCCAATGTCATAAACATAGATCATCTAAAGGAGCATGCTCTACTACAGTACCTGTTTAACCACTTTAAATGCTTATTATTCTGTTATCAATTCTAAAGTCAACCAAAACTGACCTTTTTTACCTTGTTAGTTAATAAACTAAAGGGAACCCTGACTGTTAAGATATGTGTGCCTCAGCATGGTGTACATGTCCAACACTGTTGAAATATGTTGCATAAACTAAACAGAGTACTTTATTTATTATTAAAAATAGATAAAATCCCTGTACTAGTATGTTGTGGCATCAAATGGTTGTTCTCTCTCTTTAGCGAGCTAAAGATCTTATTTAACTCAAATATAGCATTTAGCCTTTCCAACTTTAGCTAAGCATACCATTACCTAACTGTCCAGTGCAACCATACAACATCCTCAATGGCAACCTTTTGCCTGTTTGTCATGTCATTTTTATAATAAACTTAATATTTCCATTTGGTTTACATACCTTACTTAATAGTATCTAACATTTAAACTATCTTAAGGTATAAAAGTATTAACAGTGTTCCTTTTAAAGGGGTAATTTGTAAGATTTTTAGTTTAAAACATTCCAAAATTAACTACAATTATCAATATAATGTGAAGAAATAACAGTTTCTGATGTTAACATGCTAACCAGCTAGCCCTCATCTGTCCTGTCTTGTAATACCACTTTGTATCTCAAGAGGCAATAGTTAGTCAATGTAGCATGAGCTCATTATCACCACCGCCACCCGCTCCCAGCAAGAAACCACATTCAACAGCAAAGAAAAAAAGTGACATAAATCGAACAAGAGTTAACATTGGCATTGCATTCCGCCACCGGCAACAGCTCTTGGCAAGTAAAAGGATGACGGTTGATGCTGAGCTCACAACGTTTCTTCTAGACTGGTAAGTAAACAACTGTTAATTCTAACATTGCCTATTTAGCAATAGCGACTTAGCAAAGAGTGAAGAAGAAGGAGACGGCCACCAGAGCTTTCAGATGTTGCCCCCTATTTGTTTGGAGGGTGGAGTATGAATTCAACAGGTTATGTCATCTTACATATTGCTCCTTTAAACAAGATTCATCATATCATTTAAAAGGCAAAATTGTTGTTTTCTCATAGTCTTTCATCAAAATGTAATGTCATTTGTTCACCTCTAAAAGAAATCTGAGTTTTAATTACATCACTCTGTACTGGCAGGCAGGGCAAAATAATCTTTCATCATCTCCTTCTCCTACAACCGCCACCTATCATGTTCAGCTAGCTCAGAATCTTTCCCTGAATACCCTGGTCCCTCAGAAAAGCATACCGTGATGTATTTCATCATGATAACAATAAATATTGTCATACTGCACAGTCCTACAAAGCACGCATAAGTCACATATGAAATCTTCTGGTACCTGACACAACTCAGCACTATTACTATTACTATCACCCTTTTTTATTTATTTTATTTTATTTTTCTGTGCTATTATTACAGAAAGGATCCACAAAAGGACTGCCTAAACACACCCTGACAGGGGACTAAGGGTGCAACTCAGTTTGAGAATTAGATGTGTACTATTTTTAAAAAAAAACTCTGAAAACACAAATTTGACTAGACTATTTGCAAAGTAGTGGAATATAGACAAAAGAACATTTTTTGTAACTTGTACATTAGAAAATAGCCCAAGAATTTCACTTTATCCATGTGTACACAACTTTCTGATTATTATATTCAGTTATAATCAATTCTAACACTACAAATTTGATGCTACCTTCAGATCAATACATCACAATGCATCAATGCATTTTACACACCTACTGGCAACCCTGACCATATGAAGGCGATGAGCACTGTTAATCAGAAAGAGTAAAGCTATGACTCACCATGGTTCTGAATATGACTCAGCTATATCGTTGTCTCAATAACAATCTGAGATTACTTGAACATGTTCTGCCTGTTGTGATGTCTATCCCATCGTCATAAAACACCCCCAGCAACCTGTAAACAGATCAGCTAATACTGATACTACATTTACGGCCTTCATTCTAATAATGCTGCTTTAGAAAAGATGTGAACGTGCGGCCTACTGTTAAAGCATGGGCGTATGACAGAATTAACATTACATTATACTACCGAATTCACTGGCAAAAAATCAACAGTAATTCAATTCAGTTAATGCTTATGCAAATGAATTGCATGTCCTTTAATATTCACTGTGATATTTAAATATCACCTTACCATTGAATATGCTTTTGTGAGACTATTCAAGAGGATTTTCAAAATTTCTGATATAACTCAGTGGTTGGTATGTAAATTAAGCTATTTGGAGAGGTTTAATGTGAAATGGTGCACTGCAGAGAACCTGCACACACACTTCTTTACAAGAACAGTGATAAGAACCAGGGGTCACAATGTCCAGAGTGCAAATTTATCCATGTTATTTACTATCCAAAATAAGCAGTGAACCTACACGTCTTCTGAGGTTTTATATGTGATGCTGATGATGGAAGAACAGTCGTAAATCTATGACTGGGGACTACTTTTCCTTATACCCTGCATGTATCTCTCCATCATTAATGTGTCTGAGAAATACGTTTTAGGTCACAATCTTATCACAAAACTACTATAAAACAATGTCTCAGGAATCAGGCAAAAATATTTGTAACCATTTAGTGTAATGACTTTCTGTGATGCAACTTTTAAAAGGATTAAACACTTCAGACATCTGGTTCCCATCACCCTCACTTTGAACAATTCTGATTCTATACATTTCTCTAGAATGGAGCATTTCACATCAAGCCACTCTGTTAATGATTTAATTATACAGACATTTTTAAAAATTGGTGGAATTCCACTTTAAACAAATAATTAATTTATGCTAGTAATGTTTATGCTATTATGCCGCGAAAGTCTTTTATGAGTGCTTTTTACAAGATGCATAGCCAAACTGATCACTACAACACACATGATAGCAGTATGTAGTTAACCACTGTTTGCAGTCTACTGACCACTATTTAAAAAGTGAATTTCATTAAAAAGGTTTTACAGTCTCCTGTACACAAAACATGTCCTCCAGGATAACAGCACGCACACACCCTACTAACCTGAGGCTCCGTTTAAGAATCTCAGCTTATTTTATCCAAATACACTCTGTTCCAGTTTCAAACTGGTATTAAATTCATTTGAAAAAAGACTATTAGCAAAGGCCATTAGAATAAAGACTACAGTACACACTTAAATCAGTCACATATTTACTTTTCTTCCACTATGTTCAGTTAGCAGGTTATTATACAAGAATTCATAAGTGCGTTCAATTAGAAGGGTGTTCCAAGTGGAAAACATTTCTTCCAGGTTAAGAGCACGTACACACGAGTAGCCTGAGGCTCTATTTCTCAACAAATTCTCAACCAAATTCACTTCGGAAATGAAAGGTGGTTGATTTGTTCCAGTTCCAAGCAACCGAAGACAAATGAATCCCGAAAGCGCCTTGTATTGGCAAATGGATGAGCTCTAAGCTCAGAACAGTTCAGCATGAAACACCACTGTCAGCTTCAGCTGGGCTTTAGAAGTGCAGGCAAAAGTGCACTGACCAGTAAGTAGGAAAGGCTGAGCATTTTAATCAGCTTAAATTAGATCTCATACATGACAAATCGCATTTTGATCAAAATCTAAAGTTTATTTTAGCCCAGTTAAACCTCATTTTAGCTTTCTTCTTCTTCAAAACTTAGCATAAACACAAAGTGAATGAAGTAAGGTAGTAGGATGTTTTTGGCAGTCTTTTTATCTGGGCGCTTGGTTTGGTTGACAACAGTTTGAAAAAAAAGGATCCAAAGGGGTTTTGCTGTGAACTGCTGTGTCTGTGCTTTTTGTTTGGCATTATTAAAACAAGTTAAATCAATCAAATTTACTTTTTAATAGTATTTTTCTTTTTTTTTTTTTGAATCAGCTGTAACCAAACTGTCCTATGGACAGTCGCAACAGTAACAGGTGCTTAGTGGCCAGTCGCCTCATTAAAAACAACAGCTATTTGCAGCAAAGCAAACAGGAGACCTCCAGTCACTCATGAGTGCAAAAACCCCAGTAATAAATGAACACCTACTGGGTTAAATGAACTTTTACAGTACTGAACTAATTCTACCAGTGTTTTATTAGTGATCAGCTATATTGTCTTAAAAACTGTATGCTTTCATTTAGTACTGGGAATTTTACTGTGCAGTTGAGACAAGCCCAACTATTATAATGAGCTATTCTACTACACATATATGTTTTCATACAACCTCATTCCATTTTAAAAAGTCTGTCTTTAATTTGCCTGTTTCTTGAGCTGGACAGGCTGAATGGGTTTAATTTGAAGGAAAAAACACATGGCTCTCCAGAAGAAGACCAAAATATGACTCTGCTTTCAACTGTACAACTAAACAGGATCTACAAATACTACAAATGCTACTACTACTACTATTATTACTATAAAAATAATATGAATACTTCTGCTACTATGAATACTAACACTACTACTACATCTGTCACTACTATTATGGCTATTACTGTTTTAGTGCTCGTATTTATATTAGTACTATTATTCCTATGATGAAACACTTATTTTACTACTATTACTATTATTGCTAGTATTAGAACTATTACTACTACTACTATTACTATAAATAATACTAATTCTAGTGCAGCTACATCTATTACTGTTACTTCTGCTATTTCTACTGCTTGGGTGTTCATATTATATTTATTACTGTTCCTATTATAATAATTATTATTTCTATGCATAATAATCAAGACATGAACAACAACTATTACTACTACTACTACTACTACTACTAATAATAATAATAATAATAATAATAATAATACATGACATTACAACGATCAAAATGATCAGATCTGAAGCTCCTGCAGTAAACAGATCATCAGAAAGTCCAGCTAAAAGCGCTGTGGTCAGTACCTCTCTGTCCTGCTGCCTCTCCGGTCATGGACTTGAGCAGTAAAGCGCTGTTAGGAAGGAACTGGCACATGCGAGCAGTCCAGAAAAGACACTAAAGCAGGATTCCTCCGAGTGATACAGGAATGAAGTGGCATAATCCCAGGCGGTTTAATCCCAGTTCCGGAGGTAAACTGTGACCCCACTGCGTCCTCCAGAACTCCCTCCAGACTCCAGTCTCAGTCCCACCGCTCGCGCTCCACTCATTCCCCTGCGCTCAGCGCACAGACTAAACGCAGCAGCTTTTGGGACAAATCAAGTCCCCTCATCCGCGCGCACACGCACGCGAGTGTTTAAGCCCCGAGGTGTCAGATTCCAGCCTCTCCCACATGATCCAGCCTACAGGTTACACTGCTGTTACTCTGCCGCAGGAATTAAAGCAGCCGGATCAAATATCGCCATGTGCGGTTTTTACCTGCAGCTACACTTTTTTTTCTGCCGGAGTCACAGTACCTGCCTTTTAAAGGAACATTCCAACGTTTTTCCCAAAGTATTATATGTTAGTGTTTCTGTCGCGGAGCTCTTCTACAGTAAAAGTACCTCTCATTATCTTCCACTGGCGAACGAGTTACTCTAACGGTAACGGAGAGTTCTGAAATGTGATTGGCTGAGCAACGTTCGACGTGAAACAATTACATATGACTGAAACCTGTCTTAATGCGCCACCTGATTAAAAGCTGTTGTGCTGCTTGGCGATCACAGCCTGAACCAACTGACTGTTTGCACAATTATGATGGACACGGCTCTCAGCTAATCCCAATCGTCTCTAAATCATGTTGGGAAGGTGCTACTAAAGAATGTATAAGGACTGACACGCTATCCTATCGCATATTCTATTTCATTCCTGAAGCTGAAAAAGTTTTGGTTTGTGGAAGACCAAGCTTACAGCTCAATGTCTAAACTATAAACATACGAACTGCTGGCTCTAAGGTAAATTAAACTTAATCTGGGTTACTGTACTTGCTACAAACCATTTAACATTATATCTAATGATAAATAACGGTTCAGTTAGCTAGCTAGCTCATTAGTTAGCGTTAGCTAGCTTTCCTTAACTTAGCTGCTGACAGTTAACGCTATTTAAATAGCTAGCTAAATCAGTCAGCCTAAACAGGGCTGTATAGTGCTCACATTTGAGAAAAAAATGTGTGTGAAGATAAATATCTTACACATACCTTTTTTATAATGTTTCAGTGAAGTTTGCAGAATACCTTGTGTAAAAGATGACGAGCCCTCTCTGACTAGCTCCAGCGTTAGCTTTAGCATTAGCTCATCTGAAAGGATAGCTTCCATATCTAAAACCTCCTCCTTACTAAACATGAAAACCTAGATACCACTAATTAGTCTGAGCTGTAAACTTGCATAGCAACGGCAATTAAGGGACAAGAAACTTTCTTAAAATTTTGCCAGTGGTCAGTTCTTGGCGGAAGAATAGATTATTCTGATTTTTATTGACTATAAACAATTTATTTACCATTTGGTGCTTTATCATAATCTGTGTCTATTCTATAACAGCTATAAGACACTCAGTTTTTGCTTCACAGTGTGCTAACCTTGCAAAAATTACTGTAACATACAGCCTTCAGTGGATTATTGCCTTAATATAATTTACTGCCAATGCAGTGAAGCAGTATTCTCCAGTAGTTGCGCTATTACTTCCATCTTGTGGAAAGACCTGATAAAGAACCGAAAGCATGTAATTGAATGTAACTCATCTGTAACTATTTTATTGCTCCACACTTGTTTTAATATTGAGGATAAGATGTATTTCTTTGTCATCACTTCCTGCCATTCATGTAGAGAGATACCTGAAGTTAGAATGCTCTCTGTCTAGCTAAGAGGCAAATGATGTTATGCTTATTATTCTAAAATACTCACAGTTCACAGGGTAAAAAATTTATGTTGCTGAACTTTTTTTCATGGTTGTACAAAACCGTATGGGATACAAAGCTGGAAAGGCCATACTGCTAATAATCCTCAACCGTTGTGCTGTCATTTGTGTAGCAAGAGCTGAAAAAGACCAGAACATATCTGATTGATTCATATTTGGACTACTAAAGAACCTTGTACTTTAGAGGATATTCAGAGAAAAATGTACACAGAACAAGACATAAGGCTTTGAAATATTTTTATTTACCACAGGGTGCAATAGCGTGCAAATAGTTTTGAAAACAGCATTTTTCCTTTCCCTTAGACAAAACCTGAAGAGGCCCGGAGTTCCTTTTTTATTCATAATTACAGTAACCCAAGTAAATGATTTTAAAGTGTTTTTCAGTTATACCATTTTTAATCCGAGACTGTTCTGCCCTGTAAAGAAATCAAGGGAATTGATTTTTGCGCTGTATCTGAGAATGTGTGTTTTACAAGCATGCATTTCTAAATAAACAAATTAATGAATAAATAAATAAATAACAATTACCAAAAAAAAAAACACACACTTTTAAAGAAAACATTTTCATTTTGCTTGGATTTTGAGAAGCTTTATGTACTGCTATTGCTACATAGAGCAACATGCAGAAGAAAGAAGGAGTCTTTGATCAGCCATACTCTCGTAAAATGGTCAGCGCTGACATTATTAGTCTTTGTGAATCAGAAATGAATCAGGTGCATCAATAATGATGGCCACAGACCATCTGTTGACAACTGGCTATTAATCTGTATTATGAAACAAACACCTGCAAAAAACACACCCAGAAACACACATAAAAGGCTCTTAATTAGAAGGTGATGGAATGTTATGCATCATATTCATACAATAATCCAGAGCAAATAATTCACATTCGTTACGCCATTAAGGAAAGTCTGTGATGAATAGTCTATCAGAGAAAGCGAAATAAAACTGTTGCTGTTTTGATTTCAAGGTCAAATACCAGAAGCCTAAGACTTTTTGGCGCAATCAATGCTCAAATTCTTATGACGTCAAGCAGCGCACCGTATCCCACATACTATTACTGCAGCACAGGTCAGATCAGATTTCTCCATGCTGGGGTGAATGACAGATTAATAAACAGTTTAAAAGAGGGCTGTGAATGGTACTGCAGTGAAATGGGTGCTGTTTTAAAGTAATATTTTAGTAAAAGAATCAATTTTACACAATATTCCTGTTATGTTCCTCTTACCAGGAACAGTTGGCCAATTAAGACAAGAGAAGTTTGTTTTTTTCAGTTTTGCAAATTCTAATTCAAAGTCACATAGACTTGCTTATGTAGTTTCTGACACTGTGATGTACTCTTAAATAAATATGGACAAAAGTACAGACAAAATTCAGCTGTACAGTGTATCAAGCCAAACATCAGATAAATTTAAAGGCATCCAACAACAATGATGATGCTATCTGTGCAGGAGTTTGAACCCCAGTCGCAGTGTGCAAAGCCTTGGCTTTACTCACTACATACCATGTAGTTAGAATGCTATTTAAAAGCTCAACAGAGTTTTGTAGAAATCCCTGTTTTTTTTTGTTTTTTGCAATAATGAATAACACACACACACACACACACACACACACACACATCTTCTAAGCCGCTCATCCTTCTGGGTCGCAGGGGGAGCTGGAGCCTATCCCAGCAGTCATTGGGTGAAAGGCAGGATACACCCTGGACAGGTCACCAGTCCATCACAGATAATGAATAACTTGCTTCACCAAGTTTTAACACCCCAATTGCAGACATTATGTTTGGTCATTGTTCAAAAGTATAACATTATGGAATCTGTTTCTTTAAAAAATCTTAACTTAAAAAATCTTTAACTTTAGTTTTATCAGTGGGTTTCCAGCACTGTGGTGATGTGTAACAGATCAGAATTACCGAGGAAAACCATAGGTGGTGGTACTGCACCAGAGAGGGACAAGAGAACCCAAGCTGACCCATGAGCTCTATTCCCGGGCGACATTGATATCTCGCTGAAATATATATACATATTTTTAAAGAATCGTGCAGGCCATGTAAAAATACAGTCATATACACCTAACAAGAGGGCACTTGTACAGTCTGAGGGCAAAGGGACGGGTCTCAATCCACCCATGGGGTCTATCTGTGTACGTGTCTGCATGTACTTTTATCCATTGTGATAGATAACAAAGTGTCATTAAGAAACCACATTAGCAAGTCAGTGGTAGAGCTTCTCCTTTCAGTATATGGATGCAAGTAAGAAAGCCAGGATTATGTGTAAGCTACCAAACTGAGTTAAAGCCTATAGTTACCAAATATAGAACACTGTACATATACATTACACAAAAATCAGAGCTATAAAGCAATAACAATTGTTAGACCCATTGTAAATCACATATTTTTTCCAGTAAAATATTTTGATGGACATCTGAAGTTTATTTTTAAAATCTGAAAGCTAAATTGTTTTTGCTGTAAGCTGAAAACTTATCTGGGTTAATGTTAATGTTATTAATGTTTAACACAAAATATTACGAAAAAATTAAATATTAAATGTGCTAATATGTTAAACTCAGCAAATAAATAGAAATTGTCCTGATATGTGCAGAAAAATGGTATTGTAAATTAATGTAAACTTTTATTTAACTTTGTTTCCTGTAGATGTGTTAACTCATTTTCACTTAGAAAATACATACATACATATTCATACATTTGTATATACCTTTTAAACTTCTGTATAGTAACAGTCAAATAGTTTAGACTGCATATGCATTTTTCATAATGATAAAGATATTCTGAACCACACACAAATATAAATACACCCCATTTTCTCAGTTGTGATTGACATTAAAGCACTTCAAGTAAACAGCCTGAAATGTTACAAAGGTAAGCAGTAAACTGCCAGAGGTTAAGAACTGAACAATAAACTCAAAACTGAAAAATATGCAACTTTCTTAGGCATAACTTTCAGCTGTTCTGCAGCAATGGAATTAAATTGAGTTTTGAAAGTTGATGCAGTCAGTTCCTATAGGTGTCCTAACTTGTTGATTACTCACAAACCCTCTGTCTGTATAAAAGCAGTGATGGAACAGACTGAGTTACTAAACCCTCGGGGCAGTATTTGGACAATATTGCAATGCAGGATGTAGTATATTGCTACTGTAATGATGAGAAAAAGGCAGTTAACAAAGGAAAACAGTAAGGTCATTATACCCCTTAAAAGTGTAGGTCTTCCTTTAAAGAAATTTCAAAAAAAGCCAGGGAACTGGAGGAAACCAGCAGACCCAAAGCCCCAACAGAAGCAAGAAAGTCAAGTTTCTGAGAGTCAACAGCTTGGCTCAAGCAAGTCTCAGTTTCAACTGTGAAGAGAAGACATTGTGCTGCAGGTTCCAGTGGCAGAAAGAAAGCCATTGCTAAGATGGCAAAAT